TTTTGTTTCGTTCTCTTTTGGAGCCCGCCGAGGTCATTTTTTCGTCTAAATAACCTGAGAAAAGTTCGAAAAAGATGTTCCTCTTCAATTTTCAGTTCTTAGGCAATAATCCTGGATTTTTTTTGACCGAAAGGTCGGTTCGTGTTATGTTCGTGTGTTTCGGTGGCTATGGGCGACCGTCACTGTCTTTGTTGACTCAAGCAATGAAGCAAGGTGATAAAAAAACCTAATTATATTTAGTTCTGGTTTTGTTCGATTTCGTTGAAATTTTAATATGATGAAGCTGGATTGTTAAGGAATAGATGTTACTACTGCCGATATGAGGTAGCTATTAAACCACGGGTAGAACATGAGCCGCGCTCGACCCATGGCCGCGCGGTTAACAAACGTTTTGGCCCATTTTAGGTGACCATTCCACCTTAAGTCGAACTTAATCAAGTTTGGTTCATGAGTGGAGCGGCCTTTGGACCGGGCCTTAACTTCTAGTGTGAAGCCAAGTGTTTTAAGTCTGGTCTGTTTGTGCGTGATTGGTCAGTTTAGCCGTGATGGTATTGGCTCAAAGACTCGTGTAAAGTTTGTCATCAGTCATTGGTCAACTTTCATTCATTCTGTTTATTTGCCTTTTTACCCAATACAGTAATTATTTATAAATATTTCAATGTATGGCGAGGTGACCTCTAGAAACCACCAGGCTTTTAGTTGAGGCCACCTCGGTTACATAGAGAGTGCTACAGTGTGCGGCTTTGCCAGTTCAGTAATTATTTTACTAAAAATTCTAGCAGTTTTTTCTTAAAATTGGGAAAACTTGACAAAAAAGTGATTGTAACAGGAAGGGGATTCCAGATCTTTGGACCTTGGTAAGGAATTGTGAATTTTTTCAGATTAGTCCGGCAATGATGCATGCGACTTAAACTTCAACACGATCCAATATTTTCAGCCTAAAATCGGTTGAAAAATAAGAATATTCAGAGTGTGTCACATAATCTTTAAAACTATTGATTGATTCAGTTGAATTCTAAATCATTTAGCGTTAGAAAAACAAAAATTCAATATTTCGACAAATTCAACGAAAATTGTGAACTCTCTCTGAGAATGCGTAAAGTAAATTGCCCCTCTAGTCATTTTTTTCTCTTAGGTCTCCCTTAATGAAGTCGGGGATGAGCCGTG